AACCGTCCTTTTTTTTGCGTTTGGAAACGCAGCTGACAAACTTTCTTAAAAGTTCTAGCAAAAACGAAGCGATCCACCATCTTTGTCGGACTCCGTCTGGATAGCAGGGAGGGTTAGATTCTTGGCTCACTGGTTGTTTAACGAAGCTAAATTTCAGAGGTAAAAACAGCTAAACTTTGGAAGGATGCCGCAGGAAGAATATGTCAAGTGTTCGATCGTTCAGTGGAACTTCAGGCATCTCTACTTCGACTGAATATCGAACTCTGTATCTCTCCAATACAAGTGATGTGCATGACCGATTACCTAGAATGTTATGTTTCCACCATCAAGAGTTCGTCATGTTGTCGTTTACAAACGGCCTGGCGCGTCTTTAGATGTTACATAGCCTACAAGAAAAAAAGGGTCCCAGCAGCCCAATTTGGACCCAAATTAAACGTTCAGTAAGAACTTTAATAATAAATTTCATCAAAATTAATTCATCCTTTGCTCTATTTTTAATGCAGACTGGCAGATGGACATGTAAACCTAAATTTGTGAATCGCACTATAAAATTGGTATTCACAGCAAAGCCTAAGTTATGCCTATAAGTCTATGCAACATTGCTCATGAACACACTGTCGGTTTAAGTACTAGGCAAACCAGGCGGTCGCCTAGGGCGGAAAAGTCTGTGGCAGAGGTCACGAAACTGAGTGTTAAAATAAGAAACAAATATCTCAAAACAGAACGCAACATGAATCCAAAAACAGAAATACAAGACAGAAGGAAAGAATAAATGTGTGTTCATCTTCGCGGCTTTGTGTTATGCCGCCAACAACACATGGTGTCGCAACGCGTCAGTGACAGAAGATTCCCCCACACTGCGGGTCTGCCACAACAAACAGAATGTTATCCCAGACGTCAAGTAGAAACGTGGCCAAAAAAGTTACGCTCCACGATAACATAAACAATTACACGATCCGTATCGAGTAAGTTCACTTGCTTGGACATGCATAAACTGCACACAACGTTTCGTGTTCCTAATGCCCATTTAGAATTTCACTGAAAACAACATGCTGTATGAATCAAAGAAAAAGGTTTGGGTACTTAAACATCATGCTATTAAAGCGAGCTTGGAAGTAATGACTCATATATTCTAAAACTCGATGGTCAGATTAACACCACCCGCGCAAGGACAGAGTCGTAATATGAATCTAACAGGGGCTGGGTGAACCTTAGGACCTATCTGGGCGTGGTGACGATGGCAGAAATCTCTATTCGGTAACTGATAATCGACAATTCTGTCAGAAGCCGGCCACTTAAGTGTCAGAAATAACCAGGTTCGTTTGAACAAAAAGTGATAGTGGAACCACGGTTCCGGAGAATTATACGTAAATATGTCTATACGGAAAGGAAGTTTATATATTGGCTTTATTCTAAATATTTCCTTTATACCCGCTTTACAATTGAGTAAACTTTTATTAAGGCTTTGCTTATTTAACTTGAATTAGTTACGCTTAAGATGGGTCTGTGGTAGCAGAATTTAATGTAAAGTAATGTAATGAAATGTAAAGTAATGTAATGTAATGAAATGTAATGTAATGTAAGGTAAGGTAAGGTAATGTAATGTTTTATAGGTAAGAACAATGCCAAGTAAACAGATGACGTTTCCTTGGTAACAATAATGCCGAGTAAACAATTGACGTTCCGAAGGTAACATAACAATGCAGTTACACTTTTTCGTTTCACTTTTTGCCGAATGACACTGACCCGAAAATATAGACGTATTTACGTCAAAATGTAAGACCAGCTCACGTAAGTAACTTCATCAGTACCTACAGTTTCACCTCAGGTGGTCTGCTGTTTATCTTCACAGTGTTTATTAAATATTCAGCACTGAAACACGAGTTCGTGTTGTCTGGTAATGCATATCGTGCAAATAGGTTAAGCAATTACAACACATTATGAGTAATTGACGGTACATACAACTAAGACATATAATTCAGATGACTGGTTCGTCTAAAGAATGCATGAAGTAAACATTATTCTTAAACAAACATATTACTACTGTCTGTCGATGTCAAGTCAGGTTGTGGGTTTATACGGTTCCTTTTACGTGCTGAGAATAAAGATTCCTCATTCCTCTGTAAAAGAAAACAGCAGAACACTGTAAATACCAGATCAAAATTTCGAACACACAGAAACACAAAGAAAAGAAACACGTCAAATCATACAAACAATCATCACGACTTGCCGAAGAAAATGGAGTTAGTACAACATGAAGATAGAAAAAAAGACTGACGTGAAAACTCAGCAAGATACGAGGTGGCGACTATGCACTTTGTAAGACGATTGAAAAATTTGATTCGTCGGGATGTGGTGGAGGTGGAATGACAGAAACTTGATGTTTCTGTACAGAAGAAAACACAGACAACTGAAGTCGAAAGTGGCTGCCACGTGTGCAGAGAATATTACGATTCTACGAAATTCGTCCAATTCATACCGAGAAAGAACGCAGGCCTTTCTGAAGGCAAGGAAAGAGAAATGAGGACGTCGTCCTACAGCACGAAAGGAAATTTTTCTTGTCTCTCAGTTTATTAACAATACTTTATCGACTTCATAAAATTCACAGCGTCAGCTAAGAGTATTATTACGTCTATAAATTCAGAAACTACATAGTCAACTGTGGCCTATTTCCATATCAAACTGAAAAGGAAAATACATGTACGTATATATCAGGGATAGGACTCCATATTACCTCGCTGAGGTTCGAACTTGACGAGTCCTGGATAGGAAGCAGGTGTGATAACTATGGCAAATGACGTTGCACTTCAAACCCGTGTTATTGAAGAAATTGTTTTCTCTTCTTAACTTATATGACGTCATACTCATAGAACAAACAGAAGCGTGGAGAAGCCCCCTGGGAGCTGATATAATGGGACAGACGAACGCCTATTATCCCCTGAATTGTCTTGAGGTTGTTATCAAAAGCAGCGTTCAGCAGAGCTTAGGCGACTAGATACACATCGTTCTGCTCGAAATACAATAAGTCTGTTTTTGTATAAATAGATTCTGATGAAAGTGAGGTTTTCATAGACCTTGTTAAAATTTATCAAAAAAAGTAGAAAAGGATTTTAAAGAAATTGTTTGTTATTGAAGTGCTTAGACATTGTCGTGCGGTCTTGGGGGAGATTTATTAACACTGCATTTCCGCACGACTTGATTTCGGAGACCAGGATTCGCCACTGAACATGAAGCTGTAGCTCGGGTATCAAGAATAATTTTCTTCGCCAGAAATATGACCAGAAGTATCTTAAAAACCGCCAGTTGCTGTTTATATTAGCTATTCCATTCGGAGAAACGGTAATGATAATTAACGAAAGAAAAGTAAAATATCACTCGCAATTTTAGTTTCCAGTTTCTTTCAAAAGTTTTGTCAAAAGCACAGAAAAATGGCGGATCTCAACAATATTAACTTTCCCTCATTTCCTGCTAGCGCGTTTTCATTGTCTCTTATGCGGTCGAAACTGTGACACGTTTAACTTTGACAGAATTCACCAGCAAACAAACAAACAATCTGTTACCATGTTTTTGTGGTGTGATGACAAGTGACATTCACTAGTATGAAAATAAGTCTGTAATTCAGAAACAATTTTAAAATGTGCGGAAATATTTCAAAAGTGAACCAAGTTCTGTTAATCATACGTGTTCCGGACGACAATCAACATCATAGAATATACGTCGAGGTAGTTCCGATCATGGAAACAAGTGGTGCAAGAATGAGTTATAGAACAACCGAAAAAAATCATCAATACTGACTAAAACCTTGTAGACTATAGAATCACATGCAATGAAGAACCGGGAGATTACGTAGAACGATATATCCAACTATTTTGTCAAAACGTATACTAAAACTACCTTTCATAATGACTACACTACGGGCTACAGCTGGGTTCGATTCCTGACAAGGAGAGATTTTTTCCTTCGTCACAACGTCCAGAAGGCCACACAGTGTATATCGAGGTTATTTCTCGAGGAGTAAAGTAACGGGAGCGTGAAGCTCACCACATATCTTCCTGATGCTTAAATAAATGCATGGAGCTTAGTTAAGCACCAGGGACAACTATACATTTACGTTTGCCCTCAAAACATTACTTTCCTTCAAACTTACTGAAAAGAGCTGTGAAAATGTCAAGTTTCTTTTGCAGACACGGTGATAAATTTTGTGCTATAGAAAATCCCTTGTACAGTTCCGTAATTGTTCGCAGAACAAATGCATTAGAATAGGCGACAAGTCAATTAAGTCAGCGAAACAAACAATTGCCAACCGCTTAGTGTTATCGGCTGGTCAGTCAGTTGATTATTGAATACAAAGAAGCATAATTTAGGCACGGAACTCATCATTTCAGGCCCCTTTCTTGCATAAATTTGGAAATAAAGGCTGATCCTGTTTAATGTCACTCCGTTTGTTGGGGCTTGTTATCGACCGCGACGGGCAGAACATATCGACACCAATAATATGACAGAGAAGCGATGGGTATCATCACAATAAAGTGAATAATTTAAGAGCTTTGTGCTCAGGTCGTTTGCCTGTTTCTTGCCTCAGTAAAGGACTACAGAGAAAACGTGAATGGTACAATACCTTCTTCGCTTAGTCATGAATGTTGCATCTGTACTTCTGTACAAAGCCCAATTTAATCCAAGGTTGTAAATTTACTTAAAAATCACAAATTCATGTATGTAGGCCTATTTAATTCTTTTCAGATTTGTTCGTCGGTATGAGTGTGGTATTATCACGACGTAAACACCGTGGAAGCTGAAATGTGTATTACGAGTTATATTATTCCCATTATTTAAGAACAAAATCAAGAAATTAACATAGGCCTATAATGAAGAGGTCCTCTCTATCCGTTCGTATGTTTAATCTCCAAGACTACGGAAAGCATTTTGATTAAATTTGAACTAAACATTGCTGGATAAGTTTAATTTTGGTTGGAAGCATTTTGATTAAATTTGAACTAAACATTTCTGGATAAATTTAATTTTGGTTGGAACAAACCTGATACAACGCGCTATATGAAGGTAAAATCTACTTTACAGATTTTCTTTTAGAACAGGACATCGTACAAATGTAATATAGTCCATGACATAAAATTAGGACCTCACTGTATTCTAGGCAACTAATTACCACAAAATTGAATGAAAGTTTGAAGATCTTCAGGATCTCGACGTCGAACGTTGAATGTTGAACATGGAGTTGTTATTGTTCTCGCAATTTCTGGCACGAGCTACAACAGATCATTTAACAAAATGAGCATATGCATTATAGGCTGGCTCTAAATTGACCTCCTACACGGACCAAATACTGTTAAATGTGGCTTATAAAAATTCTAGAATCTTGCTTCTCGTTTTAATATCAAAGTTACACTTTCAGAAACATATCTTTAGAAGACTGAAAGAGACGAATTAGTTGTCCGTTAGACACGGCAACTGGCGTCAGACTAAATTTCGACAATAACGCCTAAAGACCTCAGATAAGACAACGGACTCAGTTCCCTAGCGTGAACAGGGGAACCTCCTGCTATTGGCTGGCCAAATGCTGACACGGAAAACAGCAGTAGCGAAGTGCTGCAACTTGTGTTCACGAAGGACATTTTCAGGTCCGGTTTCTGCACCATTGAGCTCCATGACTGTGGGCGAACGGAACATGAAAACGCTTACCTGCACACAATAATACGGCATATAAAATAATATGTACTAGTAAAACATGTGCATGAAACTTCGGCGATCTCAGGGAGGAAACGCGATGTTGTGATGACAGAATCTTCAGAGAGGACCGAATGTTTTAACTTGCTGTAATCGTGAAAGTCATAAGTTAGCCTACGTCCTATTAATACGAACATTACTTTGAAATACACATCACTTCGACTTACAAACTTCAGATTATAGAATTTTCGCTGAAACTAAGTAAGTAATCATGTTACTACGTTTAAATTTACGAAAATATTTTCACTATAACAAAGAACGTATTAGTTTCTTAGCAAAGATTCTTTGTGATTATTATACACTAGAGCAGAGCGCTCCTTTCGGAGCTCCTCGGGGGGCTTGGGGGGGGGTAAAGTTTTTAAAACGTTTTAAAATCTTGAGTAAGAAACTAAACCAACCCCCCCGAATGGGGGGTTAAAACACTTGATACAAATTTTTTTAGTAGATGTGACAATTAAAGTTTTAAAAAAGACTACTGTCTACCGCAACAACAGTAACTTCTGTACAATGTAAACGTTTGATTTAACATTTCTGTGGTGCTTTACAGCGTTAAACAGGTAATAATATATATTTTTTTCAAAAGTAATACTGTTCTAATAAAATATGTGGTATGATAGAGTGATTTTTCTGGGAGCCGGAAACCAATCAGAATTGTTTGACGCTGAAACTGATGGGAATTTTCGTTTTACAGATTTTTAACTCATGAACACTTTTCATAGAACGAAGTACGCTCCAAAATCGAGGGAAGGATAAGGTACAAATTCTAATCCAGACAGGTAAAATCTACTTAAGAAAGGAGTAGTGTCACGAGAATTTAACATTTCAAATACAAACAAGTTCACTTAATCAGCTACAAAATCTGGCTAATGATAAATATGACAGTTTTAACTTTCACAGAAAGCCGTCTGTGCGCAGTGTACACAGAAATAAACCTCGCCCATATTTTATTCTGCTCCTCTTGACGCTTAAGTTATACATATCTTTCTCTTCCCTAAGATTAGTCCGGCAATGAACACATAAATTCTCATTACAGCACAGAAATACGGACAAGAGACAACAAATACTTAGAATTTAACACAAAAAGTGTAAAACCAAAAGATTGCGTGGTATAGACACATTACAAGGATTACAAAACGAATGACTCGCGCTGCCCAGTTTACATCGGAGACCAACAGGTGGGGCAGGAGACGAAGAATGAGACGGGAATGTAGATTAAGTAACACTTCTCTCCACTGTCGGCACAGATCCGATCGAGAAACGAAGAAGAGGAGGAAGAAGAAGAAGAATAACCGAAGAAAAATAAGAAGCAGAAGTAGAAGGGAACAGAAAGGAGACTGGGAAGAAATAAAATAAGAATGCGAGTAGTATGCATAAAAGCAGCAATGAAGAATTTAATATTAAGCAAGAAATAAAAAAATAAGGGAGGTTACGATCAACATCCACACTCGAAATTACTTAAACCATGCGGGATGCACACACCCAACTGTCAGCCGCTCGTTCTGAATATTTTTAACTTATTACTGCTTCGGGGAACGGACTTTAAAGAGCTAACAATTTGGAAAACATTTATCTATGTGCCTTTAAACTAAAAGACACGATCTAGAAATTAAAAAATATCTTAATAAAGTGCCCATGATCACACATAAACTCAGCAAAAGCCATCAGTATTTCAAACAAAGCGAAGCACTGTTGCAATGGACCATGAAAGTCGTCTTTGAGTTGTGCATTGTAAATCTAATGTTTTTTTTTAAATTTATCACGGATGAGTAAGAAAATGTACGTTCCACATCACATAATACCAATGTTGCACACTTTTAGCTAACAACAAACGATGTCAGGGAGAATTTAACATTTCAAATACAAACAAGTTCACTTAATCAGCTACAAAATCTGGCTAATGATAAATATGACAGTTTTAACTTTCACAGAAAGCCGTCTGTGCGCAGTGTACACAGAAATAAACCTCGCCCATATTTTATTCTGCTCCTCTTGACGCTTAAGTTATACATATCTTTCTCTTCCCTAAGATTAGTCCGGCAATGAACACATAAATTCTCATTACAGCACAGAAATACGGACAAGAGACAACAAATACTTAGAATTTAACACAAAAAGTGTAAAACCAAAAGATTGCGTGGTATAGACACATTACAAGGATTACAAAACGAATGACTCGCGCTGCCCAGTTTACATCGGAGACCAACAGGTGGGGCAGGAGACGAAGAATGAGACGGGAATGTAGATTAAGTAACACTTCTCTCCACTGTCGGCACAGATCCGATCGAGAAACGAAGAAGAGGAGGAAGAAGAAGAAGAATAACCGAAGAAAAATAAGAAGCAGAAGTAGAAGGGAACAGAAAGGAGACTGGGAAGAAATAAAATAAGAATGCGAGTAGTATGCATAAAAGCAGCAATGAAGAATTTAATATTAAGCAAGAAATAAAAAAATAAGGGAGGTTACGATCAACATCCACACTCGAAATTACTTAAACCATGCGGGATGCACACACCCAACTGTCAGCCGCTCGTTCTGAATATTTTTAACTTATTACTGCTTCGGGGAACGGACTTTAAAGAGCTAACAATTTGGAAAACATTTATCTATGTGCCTTTAAACTAAAAGACACGATCTAGAAATTAAAAAATATCTTAATAAAGTGCCCATGATCACACATAAACTCAGCAAAAGCCATCAGTATTTCAAACAAAGCGAAGCACTGTTGCAATGGACCATGAAAGTCGTCTTTGAGTTGTGCATTGTAAATCTAATGTTTTTTTTTAAATTTATCACGGATGAGTAAGAAAATGTACGTTCCACATCACATAATACCAATGTTGCACACTTTTAGCTAACAACAAACGATGTCAGGTTATCATCCTCCTCCTCCTCCTCCTCCTCCCCCCCACCCCCTCTGACGCACATGAAAACTCCCATATGACTTTAAAGCCTTTATTCTTATCGAGACATGAACGGAACTTTTGTTGGCTATCGAGCCATTGATTTTCTTAGCTTTATTTTGAATGTCGTTGATTTCTTTTGTTGTTACTGACAACAAACTTGTAGTATTTTCCAACTTTGTTAACGACTGTTACACAAAGACGAAATTTGCACGAAAGCAGGCCAGGTCTGTATTAGGACCTTCAGTTCGTCGGAGTCCTTAAATGACTTCAAATTCTGTAAGACATTAAGCCTCGTACCTCTCAGGTTCATTTACCACAGAACAAAGTTTTTAAGTTTTCTGCATAACTGACAATGGAATCCAACTAGTTTGCCGACAGTGCACTTGCAGGAGTTGGAATGAGTGATGTGTCTGCAGTTTTGTTATTAAGAGCTCTGTTCTAGCTGGCCATTTCACAAGTATTTTCCTCATATTAGGCAACAGCCTGTCTATATTTGGACAAAGCATATGAACTGTTTCACAGGCCCTGTGCATAGAATTCGGAAGACATATAACATTTTAGGGCACCGCTCTAAAATCCCTTCTGGTGCTCTTTTCAAGTACAAAAGGTGCGTGACCTGTAAGTAGAAACACGTCATAGTCTCCATAAGTTCGCTGGAATCAAGTGCTACTACAGAAATTATTTATCTGATAACGCCCGATCGTTTTCAAAAATCTCCACAACAACATTTGCAACATTTCCTCCAATTCCAACGGCTATTTCGTCTGTGAACACCAAAATTCTTCCTTTCCCGCACAATACTTGAATTTTTCAATGTTTCTTTATAGCACTTACGTAGATAAAGTTTTCTCAAAGCCGACTCGTCTGGAGAATACTTTTAAAATGAAATTCCAAACTTAGGGATTGTTTTAAAAAGCGATATGTCTGTGAACACAAATGCTTTGCACAGACGTATTACAGAAGTGTAAAATACGTAAAGTGCGCAGGAAAAACTTGTAACTGACGACGTCTCAGACTGGGTCATTCCCTGTATGTCAACACGTGTCTCTTACGCAATTCTTACATTTAAATTGCCCGGAACCCGGAACGGGGGATCACCGCGTCAAAACAAAGAAGGGTAGTCACCGGTCAACACGTGTCGTTTAACTCGGCGTGCTGTTAACAGACTGCGCAGACCTGTGAAATTGTAATTTATTCATTCTGTAACACATGTATCATTAAACTTTGTTTTTAACCCCAAAATAATTACGTATACATAAAAATGTGGAAATATGTGATTTTAGGTGACATAAAACGCTATATACAGACAGTGATCGAAGAACCTGAACGTTAAACTGGTTTCCGTGAGTGTAAATATCTGCAAAGAAAGTATTTCTTACCTCTAAATCCATTCTGCGAATACCACAATAGCCTCAGCTGCTGTCTTATAGACGTTGCAGATAAATCTAACCTCTGAACTTTTATGCGAGAGTGTAGCAGACCATTACGTCATTACCGACCAAGAGTTGCCATGGAAACAATTAATGTGTGCTGCTACCTATACGTTTTGTAAGTAAATATAAAGACCAGTATAAATGTGATTCACATTTTTTATTAAAAAGACCACTGGTTTGCAGTTTTACCTCAATCGTGAAATTCCACAATTTCGCTTTTCAAGCATCAGACAAATCTGATTATTAACGATACTATTATCAAAGTAAAATCTGCTTCTTTGGGTTTTAATTTGCTATGTAATTCAACGCGTTCGTTGGACGGTAGAATCCCGATTATCCGACTTTGGTTACCCGAAATTCCGTTTAATCCGACGACCCGTGAGTCATATTGAAGGACTAAATTCTATCGAGACAGCACTTGCCTTGCTTTGAGAAACATGGACGTACTACAGTCCTGGACGTGAAGCGATCTTGCCCCAAAGGAAAGGAAGGAGGCTCGACTCTCAGAAACAAACACCCATTACTATTTTTTTAAAAAAGTTCTTCCATTCACAAAATTATAATGGTTTTGTTTAATCAATATTCCGAAATTTTGGATTATCCGACTGTCATTCGGTCGCGATTAGGTCGAGTAATCGAGAATCTACTGTATTAAAAGAACGCCACAGTACCTCATATACAATACCAGAAACTATTTATGCAAGAGGACAGGTGTCTGAATCCGGCATATCATCGGATATGTACAACCGGAAAAGGAAAGTGATCATAATTGTCTTAAATTGTCAGACATCTGCAAAAATACATCAATATTCAACCATTTTAGTCGGTGAAAAAATATTAAAAAAAATCCACTCTGTATTTAAAATGAAGTATTTTATAGCAGTGCCAAAACACGTCTTGTAACTCTTACCGGTATAAATTATGATGTGGGCCAGCAGCGGTCAAAGGTCCACAAGCTGAGAATCAAACTAACAGACAAAACTTTCGAACGTTAGGGAAACAGTGAAGAGACGAGAAGTAGTGACGCAGTTAACATTCTGTGGAGGAAGGTACAGGTCACAAAATGACAACCAAAATAAAAGTTACTTGGCAGCTATTGGCCGACAACAGCAAATAATATTCTGAGTACGCAATAGATTCCGAAACACGTAACCTCAGAGATTTGGTTCTTCGCACTGGAAAACATTTTGCCGGACTGTAAAAGTTGTCTGTTATGCACACTGGACAATCTATGAAATCCTCGATAAACACGGACACGCCCAATGGAAATCAGCATAAGTTGTGTCATACTAGGGAATTCGTGAAAACACACCTCGATTTAACCACTCTCGCAATTCAAAGTAAATCTTAGCAAAGCAGACCTGTGAAACTATACATAAGCACAGAATTTTGGAGTTACAGCCACAAGCCGTGAAAGGTCACCGCTTGCGTAGATACTGTTCTTAACGATGAGCGAATTTGCAGAGCGCAGTCTGACGACATGCCTGACATTTGCAACTTCACTGAGGTACTTAATGTAACCGGAGATAACAAGAAAGTCTTAGCATGTGTGTCAGTGAATGTACGCACGGGTGACTATGAGAATGTGTCCTTTCCTCTGGGGTAAAGATCGACCGAAGCCTGACACTGACAACTCGTCATCTACTGCCGATGTGAAGTACGGCTAGGAGCTACACTTACTCTTCCCATAAGAGCCTCCATGGCTCTCATTTACTTAAGAATTATAAAGAGTAAGTCATTTTTACATTACACAAACAATTATTATACCAAAACTTTGTAAAATCTGCCACCATATATAAATACATGGCCATATTGTATGTGTCGATCCCATCTCATACGTTTCTTCGCCCGTAATGTTGGTGTATGATTTTACGTTTGTTGCTAACAGCATAATGTCCATACCAAATTTCATCTAAATCCAGCAGTCATCCAGTTGAATCATGCATCAAGAAATCCCTTGAGAAAATTTTGTTTCATGAGTTAACAAAGTCGTATCACCTACAAAGATTAACGTCGAATGATAAGATTTTAGAAATGCGAGAAATTGAAATTATTTCAAAGTGTTCGTAGTCTATTCTAGGGAGCTTTGTGGAAAACTGTCGGGGTCTATGAGACAGGTCGTGTTCCTGGAAACAGAAGCTAGCGATTTCCATTGTGTTTCTCTTAAAGGCCCCAATCAATAGAGAGACCCCATCTGGCGACAGCACGAACTCGTTCCTCGTGATGAATTTGTCTGCCGTGTCAACGGGCAGAGAACAGTGCGTCTTAATTCCGAGAGAACTGCGACATTCGCCAAGTTCCGGCACATCACCGGAACCTGCTGTGGCGACACTTCCATTTCAGCGCACGACCATATCTGCAATCGTCTGAGGACTGAAATGTACGTAAAAAGGTGGTGAAGCGGTATATATTTATTTTATGAGAGGATGACACTGAAGGAAGGAAGCGGCCGTGACCTAATTTAACGTAC